ACGCTTCCCTGCCAAAGATGAGTTTTTACGGCTTTCCGTGTTTTCACTGTTATACACTCGGGGGCGCTATTACGATCTTCTGAACGAGTACAAAACCTCCCGAACAAAATCACACGTGAACAGGAGGAGAAACGAGCGATCTCTTATGTAAACAGATGCATATGAAAAATAATGCGATCATCAGCAATAGACAGCCTTCTGGAGTTTCTCTGGCCTTCAGATGGAGATTTACTGCTGGTCACAGAACCATGCTTCACGGACAAGAGACACATGACAATCACAGCTTCTGTCTAATCATGATCTCGATTCCATTTCGATTTATCGTGCAGCCCTACTTTAAGCTAGAATAAAAGGGATTTTTTTGTTTAAAGGGGTGGTTGACTGGTTTTTTTCTAGGCTTGATTGTGTTTATGGGGTGCAGTGTAACATGTGTTAATGCTTCGTTTAAAAAACGGTTTTATCCTGATTAAAGCTTTAATACAGTACGGCAACTGCCCGCGCGTCCATGTTTAACGCTTCTCATAGCTAGTAGGGGTGGGAATCACCAGAGGCCTCACGATACGATACTTGTGTCACGGTACAATATTATTGCGATTTTAAATATATTGCGATATCACTTCTATGTAACAATCAGATATAAGTTGTTGTTGTTGTTGTTGTTGTTTTGACTAATTATCCAAATAATGTATAGTCCTACAAAGCTATTATTATCAGAGCATGTGAGCAGAGCATATAGCGTCAGGAGAGGGTAGCGTTGCCCAGTACAGCTGTGTTCACGTTATTTGAGTGGACTTTGCTTTTCCGGTGAGCATGAGCTTTACACGAGCGGAACGCACATTCATAGATCTGAATATTGAGCGGAGCGTCAAACCGCGCAGTGACGGGGAGAGTGAAACATGCGTGCTGAACACTGCGGGGCGCCACGCGGCGCTCCATATATATTATTATTATTATTAGGGCTGCACGATAAATCGCATACGATATTTAACGCGCATCTTGTCAGAAAGCCGGTTCTGTAATCAGCGGTAAATCTCCATCACCTGTGTGCTTTC